TCTGTTTGTTTTTAGTAATGTCTCTTTTGCTGTGCAGAAGCTCTTTAACTTGATGTAGTCCCATCTATTTATCTTTGCCTTCAGTATTGTGGCGTTGGGTGCTCTGTCTTTAAAGATGTCGCTGAAGTGTATGTCGTGTAGTGTTTGACCCATCTTTGCTTCTAGGTATTATACCACATACTATTTTTATCCATCAGGTTCATTCATTTGCTCGTCACATATTTATTCACTTTCTGCTATATACCAAGTAGCATTCTAAGTACTAGAGCTAAAGCAGTAAAGGAAAAAAGTAAATATCCTTGCCATCATGGGGCTCACTTAGTAGTGGAGAGAGATAATAAACCAATTATATGCTATGTTTGAAGGTGATAAATGCTCAGAAATAAATAAAACCAGGTAAAGAGGCAACATAAAGGAAATGAAAGGAACTTAGGTTACTTTGCTCAAGTCCAGGGACTTGAAAACCTAGATGAAACAGATACTTTGGTAGGAAAAGTGTGTATTACAAAAATGTTTGTGGAGGAAAGAGAAATTCTACTCAAATTATATATCATAAAACATTTAGAAAAAGTTGTTCAAGAGCAGCTCCTAGAAAAAATACCAAAGCTCTTTCCAAGGTGAATAATACCTAACCTTTAATGAACTAAGTCCAATGATATTCATGTTAATTCAGAGTTAAGACAAAAAAGTGACATTATTGAGAAATGGTGATTTTTTTCCCCCATGGATTTAATGGGAGTGAGAATTTGTATAGGCTTTATGGGAAGTATTTTGATAGTATTTAATAAAATTAAATCTATACCTATGATATATAAACATACATGTATATCCTTTAATCTGTCATTACTACCCCTGGGCTTCTAGTTTTAAGTAATCTATCAGTTGGTAAGGTTGTTTCTCTATAGCAGTGGTGTGTTTATGACCATACCACCCTAATTGTGCCCAGTATCATCTGTGTCTGCAATGTTTCTTAGTATTAAAAACTGAAAACAGGGCCCTCCCTGGTGGTGCAAGAGGTTAGGGCACAACAGGTTAGGGCGCAGCACTGCAAGCTGGGGGCAGCTGCTTTAGTGTGAGTTAGACCCCCCCCCCCAGATGGCTCAGCAGACCTCTCCTGCCTCACCCTCTGCTCCCCTCAGCAGTGTACTTTATCGATCTGCCTACTCTGTTCCCTGCTCTGTCTCTGGTGAATCCTCTCACTGCCCCTGCACCTCTGGCCTGTACCCCAGTTCTGTAT